GTGTGTGTGTGTGTGTGTGTGTGTGTGTGTGTGTGTGTGTGTGTGTGCCACAGCTGGATGCCTCCACTCCTGCCTGATGACTGTTTTGACAGTTCAGTAATGGCCCCCGTTGAGAGTCAAGGCGGCCCCCCCGCTAGTGGAAGCAATTCAACTTCTGCTATTCGGAGGTAAAACACCCGCCTTGTCCTCCAAGTAATTACGTGAATACGATGATTTTGAAATCCCTCGGAGCCCAGAAGAACAATTAATGTGGAAAGGGGAGCTCGTGCTTTAATTGAAGTCTGATGGAGTGTTTTGCGTTGGGGGGGTGAGCATCTTTCAGAGCATCGACGGGTCTTTCCCTTCACATCTGGGTAATTTGTTCGAGTGGTTCAGGATCATTTGCAGACTTGAAACCTTTTTTTTATGTGAAGCCTGGAAATTCAGATGTTGTTCTGAAGTGTTATTAGGAAAATTTGAATTCAGAACATTTCAGCAAATGTCTGCTTACCGCCTCCTTGTGTTTTCAAATTTGTACCAATTTTTCTAAAGCCAAATCATTTTAATTTAGGGTGTTTTTATAGCTCTGTTGTTGTTTTTGTTCTTTTCAAAATGCACCGCCGAGGCCTCCCATTATCACAAAGTGCTTGCTGTCACAAGGTTAGAATCACATGCTGGGCTCCAAATGGCATCAGGATACAAACTTGACACATTCTGGCTCTGACATGCAGCCTACTCTGACGGTTGATTCCCTAAATCGGCAGCGGCGGTTACATAACCAGGGTCGCCCGTGTACCCTCCGCGTAATATAAGTGCTCACATCATGTCCTCCATGTTTTAAACCTGACTGCTAATCATATCGGAAACAATAAATCCTAAACCCAGCTGCGACGGAGCACGGAGCCAGATTACAGGGATTAAAAAAAAAAAAACACTAAAATTGATAGAGCACCTGTTCTTTGTCCTCGTGGTAATCTCCTAAAACCTAACCCCAAGTCAGCACACCATGTAAGGGCTGTAATACACCGAGTCACGTCTCCGATACAAGATGTAACATCACGCACAGGTGGCGTGTTACATAAACTTTGTTCAGAGATTTGAATGCTGCTTACTGCGGTGAAAACGTAACAATTCAGTGCGATTAAACAGAGCGGTTACATCACAATACAAAATGTGAGTTTAATAGTGTTGGTCGTCAAAGAGCGAGTCCGTCCCAGTCTCATGCACGGCTACACATTTGATTTTTTTAGATTTCCACCTTTTTTATTGTTTTGTCTGTGAATTTACAATCGAGTTGCACAACAACATCGATCGTCTCGGGCCTGACAGGAGTCGAGTTTTAATTAAGGATTTAGAGAGAGTCAAAGGCCCGTCCTCTGACGACATGCTCTCCTTTTGTGAGACGCACCGTTGCTGACAACTTCTCTTTGATATTGTATGAAGGATTACATCTAATCTCGTTCAATCACGGTGCAATCCTTAGTCCCATCCGCTGTGTGCTTTCAGATTAAACTACAATCTCCAAACATTCGTGGACGCGTGGATTTAAAGAAATCGATTTATATCTCTTTAGAGGCGACTGTTTGTCCCATCTGCTTTTAAATATCCCTTCATTCCGACCGCCCGGATGCTGTCTTTGGTCTTACGTGTCATGGACTTAATGTTCTCATCCCACACACACTTGTGTTCTATCGTGACGGAGCATGCAAGTCCTTCTTCTGCATCTTTCATCCCCGGTGTTGGGGTGTGTAATTCTTGTCATTTGAAGCATGTTACACTGGATAAAAAAATTTAAAAAAAAGATAAACTGATGCTCCCTTGGGGGAGGGGGGGAGTATTTGTCACTTTGTTAGTTCCACGGCGTTCTGCTGTGTTTGATCAAACAGATGCTGTCTTTGAAGAGCAGTCCAACTGCTGTTTGTTTTCGGTGTGTTGACGCTCCTGATTTTCTGTACTTCGCTGTTTGCCAGATAAGCAGCATTGTTTTATGCTGCCGGATTAATGCAACAGGTTTGTATGTACAGTACGTGTGATGGATCACAGCAGGATGCCTCTCTGTTCTCTGCTAGATAAGAGTTTTATTTTTGAATGTTTGCTGAAAGCTACGGACCTCTGCACGCAAACGTTTATTGCTTTTCTTGCTGTATCTTACGTCCTCTTTTATTCTTTTTTAATATATGATAGCAATAAATTTGCTAAAATTGCCTTCAAAAGCAAAACTATATCAGCAGAGCAGGCAGCTGATATAAAGGGAATGAAATCCTTTATTAGGAACACGGGGAGACATTTCAGGAGCTTTAGGTACTTTGTGTTTAAGCTTTTTATTTTATAGCAATATGGGCTGTATATTATAAGTTATCTCTGCCACACTAATTATGGATCCCTTCAACTCAACCGAGATACACCGGCTGAACTTCTCTCCTGCAGTCCGTCACAGTCCTCAACTCCCCCCGTTGCCGTACACAGAAAAGTTATTAGCTGATATTTAGGGCCGATAATGGCTCTGCTGTGATTTAGCAATGTCGGTACACTGAGGGTAATAAACCAAAGTTGAAAGTTTCACTTCGACTACTGGGCCGGATGACGGAGAGGAGCACAACAGGAGACATTGCTTTTTTTTTTTTTTTTGCTTTTTTTCAGTTCAGGAAGGATTTTAACTGCAGCTGGCAGTCGGAAAAGAGACATGATGTTCTCGGTGTTACCATTCAACTAAAAAACAATCTGAATGGTAATGTAAAAACCATCAACTCTCAAGTACCCACTCTGTTCCTTCTTCACTCATCGGCTCCATGAATGCCACGTGCTTGTCAGTTTGTATTTTGTCATGGTCCCTCATGGAGGTGGAGAAAACGGACGTCAGGCCGCTGGGGTCGTAGGTCGCGACCGGGATAGCCTGAGGGCCGGGCTGCTTGCAGTAGCGGCAGCGGCACGGCGTCATGTAGAGGTACACGAGCACGCCGATCGTGGTCACCACGCAGCCCAGCAACGTGGTGTAGCCGGTGTTGAAGGACTCCGGTGCCGGCAGCAGCACCGTCACGTTCACCTCCCGGGTCGCGTTCAGCGACTGTTTGATATCCGCCGCTGTGCACACGTACAAACCCGTGTCGTTGACCTTGGTTGCTCGGATCTCCAAGGTGCCGTTAGCAAACAGGCTAATTAGGGTGTCGTTTATGCTAGTGTTGGTGATGTGGCCCTTGCTGGTGGAGAGCCACGTAAAGGAGAGCTCCGTGCCGCTTAAGGACGTCTGGCAGTCCAGACGAACTCTCTCTCCCTCGGTCACCACCACGTGCGAGAGGAGCACGGTCACCGGCAGAGAGACGGGTTTCTCCACGGTGCAGTTTCGGAAGAAGCGGGAGTGCCGCAGGAACCGGATGGAGGCCCTCGGGTTCCCGTAGACGGCGCAGGTGTGCTCGTCCACGAAGTCCATCAGCGACTCGTAGCCCCTCAGGTCCCAGTGCCAGAACACGCTGTACATGGAGCAGTCGCAGATCAGGGAGTTGTTGTGGAGGTACAGCCCCCGCTGCACCAGCCCGGGCAAAGCCTTCACGTCCTCCCACGGCAGGCGACTCATGCGGTTGGACGAGAGGTCCAGCATGGACAGGAAAGGGTGAGTGTGGTCCCGGATGGAGAAGAACGGGAAGTCCGTGATCTGGTTGATGCTGAAGTAGGCCTTTTTCAAGCTGCTCAGGCCGCTCAGCGTGCCGCCCTCCACCTGCGTGATCTTATTGTTGAAGAGCAGCAGCTCCTCCAGCCGCCACAGCCCCTGGAAGTAGTGTTGCTCCACCACCTGCAGCTTGTTGGAGGAAAGGTCGAGGTGCCGGAGGCCCGAGGCGTTGCGAAACACCCCGAGGCCTAGGGAGACGAACTGGTTGTGGGCCATGCGGAGGTTTTCCAATCTGGGCATCCGTTTGAAACTGCCCGGAAACAGCCAGGACAGGTAGTTGTGGCTGAGGTCGAGGGTGATGGAGGAGGAGGGCAGGGACAGAGGCAGCTTGGTCAGACCGCTGGAGCTACAGCTCACAGTGTCCGATACACAGAGGCATATGGAGGGACACGCCTCCTCAGAGCCGGGCAGGATGAGGAGCAGCAGTAGCAGGAGCAGAGGGCCTGGACGCAGTCCGGAGGTCATGTTGGTGGAAGTCGGATCCTTCAAGGTTTCTAATCCCTCTGGCTCTCTCCCCTGGTCAGATAGGAAGCAAATGAGAAACAGCGTGATGTATTGAAAGGCTGTTCTTCTCTTTTCAGCAAGGTTAAAGCCATGCAGGACAGAAGGTGAAGGACGCTTCAAATGTACTCCAGGAAATTCAGCTTTTGAATCACAAATACTCTCCTCAGACTAGAGATGTTTCTACATACAGATATAATACACTTTATGTTTTTTTTCTGGTGCAGTAATCATTGTAGGGCTGCAAGAACAACATCAGTCTACAAAAGTGTCAGAAAATGGTGAAATGTGCTGCTCAAATTATCCCAATATCTTGTTTGTTTTATCTGACAGTCCAGTACCTTAAGACCTTTACTTCACCAATATTTACATGTGAGAAGCTGGAACCAGAGGATTCAGAAAAAGTTGCTCAATTTCCTGTTGATGGACGAATCGTCTCTGTTCTAAATCATCGTCCACTAAATAGGAAACTTTTAAAACATTACGAGAGAGAAATACTTCAACTTTTTAAAAAAAAGATGCGTCTTCTCAGCTGCTATCAACTGACTTGGAGATGAACATTATTAGAGATCAGGTCAAATGGGTTTTCTGCCGGCAGACTTGTAAGTCTGTGTGAATTTGAAGGTAGAAAAGGGGAAAAGTTCATACCACTTCCAGACGAGTGAGCAATTTGGCTCACTCGTCTGCTCGTCACTACTTAATCCCATTCTCTCCAAGAAACAAAAAGAAGAAAAAAGAGAAATCCTCACTTCAAACCACACAAAATAGACACCAAATAGACTGCTTTAGCAACAACACGAGACTCCCAACTTTCCTGCGCTTTTCGTCTTCTTCTCTCAAAGTTGTATCCCATCGACGAGTACCCAGAGCGATCCTTATCTCCTCCTCCAGCAACAATGCCTTCTCCAACTTTAAGGGTCCCCCTACCGGCTTTCTCCTTCAATCCCAAATGAGAGTGCCGCTCAACAAACATCCGGCAGTGCTTTGCCCGGCGTATAGCAAACAGCACACGGAGCTCACTTAATCTCCCACAATCCCCTCCTCCTCCTCCTCCGTGTCATTGAGAGGCCAGCCCTTGTGTCTCCCGTAATGATGCTCTCTCTCTCTTTCTCTCTCTTTCAAACAATATCGTTTTTTATCGTACTCTATTAATATTCTATTTTTATTCAACTTTCAGTGTTTCGCTTAATACCAGATTGGTAGAACCAAGGAGCTTTACTCGTGAATACTACATGTGGCCTTTCACTAATCGTCCCGATGCAGAGGGCTGAAACTTAGCTATGCCCGCTGCATTTTATTCCTTTTTGTGCGCCACTCTGTCCAGATGTCGGGTGTGCTTATCGTTGTAAACACACCTGTTTTTTTTTCCTTGAATATCGGCAAATCCGGTCCATCCCTCTTCATCTCTGCCTCTATTTATTCAGCTCCTGCGCTGAAAGTCTTCCTGACTGTGAAGGTGTCCTCTTACCTGGGTGTCGTTTCTATTTTACTAGATTTTTTTTTTTTTTTTGAGTGGATGGATGATGTTTGCCCCCTGCCCAACACACACACAGACACACACACAGACTCTCTCCAAGTGCCTTAATCAGTACACCCCCCCCCCCTTTTGTTTCTGAGCCCCCGACGTCCCTCCTCTCCTTTTGCTTTGGGTTTGACTGGATCTACGCTGTCCATGCTGCTTGGTCATGGTGGCCCTGACAGCTCTGATTTCTGTCACAGCGAATTAGCTCTGCCTCCCAGCAGCCAACTCCTCGCCGCTGCTACACCTCCCCCCAACCCTCCACCACCTTCCTATAAGTGCTCGAGGCTTTGACTGACTCCCACTCACTCGCTCGCTCGCTCACTCTGCAGGGGCACAGAGACGATTCCCCCGTGGATTCATGCTCTCTGGATGGGGGTCACGTCTCCATGGGTGGGCTGATGGGGGCAGAAGTCCACATGTAGATGGATGCAGGAAGCTAGAATGTAATGTGGAAAGGCTTCAGTCTGAGATCCCCCCCCCCCCCCCCCTCTCTGTGTTTTTAAGGACATGTTTAAGTGTGAGAAAGACACATTTGGATGTATTTGTGTCGAACAAGACATCACCGTCGTCTTCGGCATTGTGGCATTACGCACAATCTTGTCACAAGGCTAGTCATCCAGCTTGGCTGCAGCGTATAAGAAATGTAAACGCCCACACATGTGCATTTGAGATGTGTCGGAGAGGAATTCCGAACAGGCCCTCCTCCAGGTGTTGTGTTTTTCGTGGGCTTGTATCATGGCTCAAATGCCCCTGAAAGTAATTTGCCTCCTTCCCTTCAGGTTGAACTTTGTCCTGTAAAGCAACCTTTTTTAAATATACACGTTTCATGGATTTTGAGGTGTTATGTAACACCCCTGTTTGTTCAATGATCTGCTCCAATCATGTATGTGGTGTTTTTTCCCTGTGAGTCCTTAATTGTAAATGGATCACATAAGAGCTATAAACCAGTGGCTTCATCTGCATAAGCTGGTAATGATTCATGGCTTGGTGTTTGCTCAGAGGAATATGAGAAACATTTGAATAACGCGCATCGTCGTGCCAGCGTGATGTCATTTGTTTTTTTTAGCTGCGGTATAATTGCGCGGGGAACATGTCGTTTTTTGTCAGCTCTTGCCGTGCTGCTGTTGACACAACAGTGACATACTTGAACATTTCTAGTGCCTCATTATTTTTGCTATTGACTTTCATTCTCTCGTCATCGTTTTTTTTTTTCATTGTCTCCGGAGATCAATGGAATCAAAACATGAGCAGGTGAACAAGACGCAGAGATGGCGTTTCTGTGCTGAATTCAATTCATTTTAATTTGCAAGACTATTCTTTTTTTACTGCGTCTCTTCACGCAGTATTAGTCTATGCAGTTTCAACAAAATTACAATGTCAACTTTAACACTTTCTTCATTTCTTGCCCCTTGTTTTGTTCCAGTCATTGTGGACTATAAACCTCTCTGTGAGTCTATTTGTTTCTGCATGTTCCTGTTGTCCGACTGGACTGTGAGGCTCCAGCCTGCTGTTCTGCAAAATCCCTAATCTAATCGGTATCTCTGTATCAAGCTGCTTTTGCAAATCCCGCCTCCTTCTTCTGCATATATGTGATTAGACTCGGCGTATATGCAAAATAGTCCCGTCCAATCGGCCGGGTTCAGAGTGGACCTCGAAGCTTAAACCCTGACCCCGATGCTTCCCGCCCACAGCGTGATTTTCTCTTTCCCATCTGCTGCAGAGGGGAAGTAAAAAAACAAACAGCAAAGGGAAACGTCTGCTCTTATCTTGCCCTTGAGAAGCAGCGAAGCTCGCTTTGAGTCGATAATATGAAGCTTTATATTCTCAGATGGAAGAAGAATATTTCTGTTGAAAGTTATAGCGCTGGAATGGATCAATGCAGACTTTTATTTGTCTTCCTCTCCACTTAAATAATGCTATCGGCTCATATAGACCAAGTCTTAAAATGATATTAACAATATGCATATTGGCTGAATACCAACTAGCTGCTTTACATCTTCCTTCAGTAGCGTACTGCGATGTGCTTCTACAGACACACTGAAACAGAAGAAAGGGAAATAAACAAGCTCTGTGTTAATTATTGAGTACATATTTGTCAAAGTGACAGGGCATGCACTGAAGTCTCAAATCAACTCTGCAAACACTGCAACCGAAGAGCTTCCGTAGCCTTTGTCTGCCAATTGTGAACCCCTGAACCTGAGCATATACCCCCCCCCCCCCCTTCAGTTCAGTGTTTATTCTGCCTCTCAACAGCTTTGTGTTAGCATGGCTTAACAGCCAAGGCTCTCAGATATGAATGAGTCAGTGCCTGTATAAAGATTTGGAGGATTGCTTTTTATTTCTCTGCTCTCCGCAGGGCAATCTGCGGTCTGGATGAGCCCTCTGTTGAAAAAGGAGTTTTAGACAATGCGGGATTGTTTGCTTGTCTGGGGGAGCTGCTCGGCTGCTCCGTATGCTGCGTGTTCATGGTGATCGTCTCCCTCCAAAACACCCCCAATATCTGGTGAGATAGGGTTTTTTTTATATGTTGCATAATGCTTGAAGACAATACGAGTCTATCTTTTTCCGGTTAGAGCTCCACTCAACCCATCTGGTGGATGTAGAGTGATGACAGCGTGAAGAGACAAGCACACCATCTAGTGGTGTGAGACTCAACTGGAATGGTGAAGCATCCAATGCACTCTTTCCTCTCCCCGATCACTGTTACTGGTGCTACATGAAGCAAGAATGAATGTAATACAAATACATTTTAAGAAATACTGAAACATATACAGCAGATACATAGAGCTAATAATTAATAATACATGTTATACAAAGTAATGATGGAAAAAAACACACCAGTAGACGTATACTACTTGAATAATTGACCCTTCCCTGACCTTGCCCGCACCGCTGCTACTCGACAAGCTATCGGAGCTACCACGGAGCCCACACAGTCACTAACTGCACTCCCTGAAGAAATGTTGTCTTTGTAAAAAGATTTAAAGAGTCTAAAATATGTGTTGTACAATATATATGGAAATATCCAGGATGTTAAACTGATTCATCAGTGAAAACGGGTTAAAAAGATAAAGATGGAAGCTACAGATCACAGAGTAACAGTGAACCAACACATCACCTGGAGATCCAGACAGAAGACAGTGAAACTAAGGAGCAACACTGTTCCTCTTTATTCACTGTTACAATCATTAAGGAGCGAAAGCTAGCGTAGCATAGAAGTGCTAACACCAGTTAATGATGTGCTAACGTCAGAAAGATAATGTTTTAGAAATGTATATCTCCTTCCAACCTCTCTGTGTATTGAGTGTCCCCAAACAATGATGCAAAAATTGATTGTAGCATGATGAACTGTGATGCTCCTGGGTATTTAAAACCACCTGCTTTACACTGAGTAAGGAGGGGAGGAAGAAAGCAGAACCTAATTTATTGTGAAGCAAACCTC